TATGGACAGACACAGACAGAACACTGGACCTCTGCAGACACACACCAATGCTCACACCTCCTCCTAAAGACTGAGATTTGCACTGAGCTGCACCTTATAATGTTACTACACTCTTGCTGCTAACATGCTGCTGACCTGATTAGGTCCCATACATCCCTTTTTATTTGTTCATATCTTTATATTGACTTATACAATTGTGTGTTATGTAAATAATATGTCTGTCTTTTAAGCCAAGAGCTTCCAGAAATAAATTTGTTGTGCTATGCATAATGACAGTAAAGATTCTTGAATTGACTTGATATTGACACTCATTCATCTTGTGTGGGTCAGTATCATTGCTCAAAAAATATTTTGATGGTTGAGAAATGGCGCAAACAGAAGAAGTAATCATTCGTCCTCCAGGGTGTCCAGGAGGAGGCCATTAGCCTCAGTGGAGCAAAAGGTGCAGCTCAGAGTCACTGTGTTAAATCAGGTGCTTTCTATGTGGCTGCCTGCTTTACAGCGTAACCCTTCTAAGATCTGCAGAAGACCAGGCAGTGTTAGTGGATTTTCTTCCTGCATGTTGACTCTTAGAAAGACCAGAGCCCCATGTCTCGGTGTGCTGAACTGTTTGGATTTCAAACTGCCCTTTGAAGAGTAATCAAAAGATGAGATGAATGTATAACCATATCACCCCCTTTTCCTTTCTTGCCCTCCTCTCCACCTTTCTTTCTCTTTCACAGCCGTTTTCTCAGTCTCTTTTGTTCTCAGCCTCAAGAGCTTGGCTCCATATATACAGTATAGGCACATCAGAGGTGTTTCAACATCTGTGTGTGTTGTATTAACAGAAAGCTGCACAAGTTTATATGCAGATTTTAATTTGGATGGGGGGGCCTACATGTCTCCCTTTTTTTTTTTTCATTGTTGTGAAGACATTTTGACCTGTCCTCACAACTTTGAAGGGCTTTTCGGGATTAAGACTTGGTTTGAAGACAAAGATAAGAATTAGGGACATTAGCCCTGTAAAGCCTGACACATCAAAAAATAGCCAGAACATTCTATTTTTTTTGGAACTGAGATGTTTATTAAACCTTTTACCAAAATCCAAAATATTATTCATGATTCAAAATTCAAGATTCATGATTTTTAATTGCCATATATGCATAGACAGTCCAGGCATATAGGAATAGAGGTGTCATATTATTTAGATTATTTCTATTTCTTTTGTATCACATTTGATACATGGGGCATTTTTGGTGATTTTTTTTTTTTTTGCTCAGAAACCTCACGTATCAGATATGATACAAATGGTTTTATAGGGTTAAGACATTTAGTTGTTATGGTTCGGGGCTAGGGAATGCATCATGTCAATGAGTGGCCTCACAGCTATAAACAGACATGACAGTGTGTATGTTCACACTGAACAAGGCATGGGGTTCAGTAGCATATTATCTAATCAGAATCCAGTTCTGAGTTTGCTTATCGAATCCAAATCCCTTATTGAATCTGATTAAGAAGATTTTCAGTGTAAAAGAAGTATTGTTTTCACTCACTACAGCAGTAAAACAAAACTATTTTGTGTGTATGAGTTCTGCTTTTTCAGCCTAACACATTTGGTCATTTGCCTTTTAAATCTGTGCAGCAACAGTATAATGGAAAAAACAAAGAAGCATAAAGGCTCCGACGGGTTTAACACTGTTGTACTGCCTCGCTAGGAGCTGTGCTGCAGAAGCTCAGGAAGCTTAATAAAAACAGCACAGTGAAAATAACATGATTTCTATGTTATCATTCAGTGAATAGCAGTTAAATGCAATGCTCATGATTTGCATTCACAAAAGACCTGATGTTAACTGAAGATGAAGTGGTTGTTGCATTGCTGCTCCCAAAATCTGATGGGTCTCACTAACATGGGCAAAAGGCTAAGGCCAAACACTCATCCACACTCATCCTTCTCAAATTATCAAAAATAACACAACTTCTTCTTTAACATGTTGGACACTAGATGAATATTTAAACAATGGGCTTGGTGTTTGCTCTATATTTTATGAGTACCCAGTATAACAATTTACACATTAAACACAGGGAGCACATACAGTATGTCTACCACAGTCTCCTAATCTACCATTTTATACACTCCAACACCTGCTGTCTGCACCCTGGACCCTGTACTGGCCTTTTAAATCTGTGCAGCCACAGTATAATGGAAAAAACGAAGAAGCATAAAGGCTCCGACGGGTTTAACACTGTTGTACTTACTGGCTGTCAGCTACTGGTTACTGGCTTGTAAAGCAAGCTTTTTAGTGAATAGAAATATGGGTGACACCATGCATTTGGAATGGGTCTTAATCCCTTTCAAAAAGACCTCAGAAATTGTTTAAAGCCAAAATGTAACTGTCAAAGGTTTCTGTGGTTGTGAAAGGTGTTCTGATTTCTAGATAAGGAGTTTCACATTGGTTTTTAATTTCTGCTTTTAAATCTTTATGAAGACAAATCCAGCTGTCAGAAACAGTACTGAAACTTGTATGCATAATATTAGAGCATATACAGTAATGGTCCTGCTGTATAATAGTATTCAATATTAGTTTATCATAAGCATGTTTAGTCTTTCCCAGCAACAGCAGTGTGGTGCGTACATTGCTTCTTAGAGTCCTTCGGCTCACTGAAGATTATTTTGGAAGGTTGAAGTACTGTAGGTGGATGGTTAATGATGAAGTGACACTGAATTGATTCCTTATTTTTCCTCTCCCCATCTCTAGTTGGAGCTGCAGTCATGCTGCATGTTCTTGCCCAATGACAGTCTCCCCTCCCCGAGCACCATCATTTGCGGTGACATTCCTGGCACTGTCCGTAGCTGGTACCACAACCAGGCCTCCATGCCAGGGACTTTGGTAGTCTGCCTGCCCCAGATCAGTGTCCTCAGTGCTGGACATAAGCACATGGAGCCGCTGCAGGAGCTCCCCTTTGTGGTGTCCAGGCCCATCTTGGAGGAAGGTAGGTTTTCATATTATACGTTGTTAAATGAAAGAGTAAAATGCCTGGAGAAGAACACACTCAGACACAGAGTGAGAACGTCAAACAAAATGTTACACTTTATGAAGCAATGATGGTGATAGGTTCATAGGGTAACACTGGGAGTCTTGAAAAGTAAATTTCAAAGTTGGAGGAAAATCTACTTAGGTTTTAATACAAATTAGTTTTTATTAATAATTGAAAAGAATGGTTTTATAATAGTAATAGGTTGCATAATGTGAATTCATCATCATTATGGACTTTTCAACACTGAGCAACCTTTGACCCCCTACCACTCATTTACCATGACAAAAGGCAAACAAACTTAAGGAGAGTGACTTTGAGGATTACGTTTTGCACATGTGGTGTCCACACCTGGCTGAGTTGACATAAGCAACACTCAGACGGCTCAGCAGTGTTTTCACTTCAGAAGAAGAAAAAAGGGGGCCAGCCTTTTTTTTTTCACAGCTCTTCAATGACATCAACATTGGGCATAGAGATTTCAAAAACAGTGGAGAAAGAAAAATGATAGCAAAAACAGTGACATCAGCAGCTTTGTCAATGTTGCCATTAAAATTAACAGCCCCTGCTTTTAGTAATTCATTCCTAGTCTTTGAAAAGCTCTTCATCTCCCATTTTCAATACCCTGGATCAGTGTCCTATCCATGGAGCATAGGAAATGTGCTCCTCATGGCCCTGAGCTCGCAGATTAGTTCCCCTACTCTGTAAGATGGCTCTAGCCGGATCCACAGGTTAACACATTCAAATGTCTCAAGTGTGGCATCTCAGACCCACAATTTCAGAATAGACCTTTGACCTATTGTAATGGGATACTCCTCCTGCTTACATTATTAGTATGTCTATAATATTTTCTATGAAGCTTTCAGTATTTGGCTTTCACTTTAAAGAAAAGTGAAAGCAATTATACAGATGTCAGAGTTTTTGCTAATGAGTATTGCCAACTTCTCCTTCTGTCTTGCTGCTGTAATCCGTTGCACCTTTCAAATCAAATTTTATTTGTATAGCACCAAATCACAACAAAAGTCATCTCAGGACACTTTACAAAGTAAGGTCTAGACCTTACTGTTATCAATATTATTACATAGGGAAAACCCAACAAACCCCCCTTGAGCAAGCACTTGGCGACAGTGGGGAGGAAAAACTCCCTTTAACGGAAGAAACCTCCGACAGACCCCGGCT